GTGATTACAAATGTCATTTAATTTAACAGGAGTCTGAAATGACGATAACCGGGACGGCAAAGGAAGAGGTGTCATGTTTTCCCATGTTCTTTTATAAAATAATTAAAGTCTGATGAAATTTAGCTTAAGATGAATCTGCATTCACGATAAAAAGAGCAGAAGAAAGGAGGAAATGTGATGTTTTAACGTGTCCATTTTAAAATAATTAAAGTAAGACTGAAGTTAACTTAAAAGGAGTCTCAAATAGAGAAAAAAGCCGAAAAAAAAGAAATGACATACATTAAAGTCCAGAATTTAATTTAAGAGGAGTCTGAAATCTCTATAAATGGAGCAGAAGAAAGGAGGAAATGTAAAGTTGTCCTATTTATTATTTATTGTTTAATGACAGAAATTATGTTACGAGGAGTCTCAACTGCCCATAAACGGAACAAAAAGGACGAGTAAATCTAATGTTTCCCTTGACTTTTTGTAAACGAATTAAAGTCTGACTGAATTTAGCTGAAGATGAGCCTACACTCACGACGAAAAGAGCACAAGAAAGGAGTTTAAACGTGATCATTTCTAAAATTATTGAAGGCTCTCTAATTTGCTGAAGTTTCCAACATAGATTTCTGTTGTTTTCTCCCCATGATGGAAAGTGATCTGTTAACGAAGCCATAAATTTAAACTTCTCATTCTTGAACTGCAAAGCTGCTGTGGGCCCTTATTTTAATTTAAGTACAATTTAAAAAGACAAGTCAACAAAATACTGCTTTTTTGCATATTTTAACGGACATTCTGTTAGCAAAGTAGGTCAGAAAATGGTCCAAATTTGGATTTGACCTCATTATCGTGATTCTAGCGTTTTGAAATTCTTAGATAACGAGTTTCGCGGAAATCGGTGTAAATTAATTTTTTGAATGATAATTTCGACGACCTTCTGCGTGACAGACAAGTTCGAACATAATTTTTCTTAAATGCTAGTGGTCCGATTTTCATGGTTGATAAAAGGTTTTAAAGAAATTGTCCACTTTTATTTCAGGCAAATAATTGTTCTATTTTGTGTATTTCTTATAACAATATTTTATATATTTTAATGGTACATATGCCATTCAAAAGTTATTTTCCTCTTCTTTCAAATGTTCAAAATTTCTTTCAAAACATTAAAATCCTTTTGGCTATTTTTGATTTATAGCGGTTTAAATCAGATATTCTGATAACGACTTATCAAAAAATGGAAAGATTTTAGGGATCAAAAAATCGATAAATTTCAACCCAAACCAAAAATTTATATTTATCTCTAGAGGTGATAAAATGAAATTTCATATTAGTTTCACAAAAAAATAATTATGACCTAGGTTACTTGAAAAATATTTGGTTTGTCGAAATATTTTGGTTATTGACAAACTTTGATAGCTTTTATCATATTTTTATTGCAATCTACATAAAAAAATGCTATAAAATGTCACGTAGTTGTTTGAGCAAGTTGAACGGCGAAATAAAAATATTAAAAAACGGAAAATTTCGACTTTCAAAATTTTTATGGGGGGGGAACCAGGGCTTACTCACAAGAAGAGTTCGATATTTTTGAATTTGGTCCAAATCCGTGACACACAGCGTCGTCCCATTGTTACTTTAAGATGAATCTTAAATCACAATAAACGGAGCATAAGAAAGGAGGAAATGTCGTTTTCCCGGGATCTTTTGTAAAACAATTAAGTTCGGCTCGATTTATATTAACGGAGTCTAAAATCCCTATAAACGGATAAGAAAAATAGAAGAAATGTCATGTTTTCCTTGTTCTTTGTAAAAGAATTGCAATCTGACTGAATTAGCTTATGATACTCATCTCAAGATACACGGAAAAAAGAAACTAAGAAACGTCATTTTTTTCCATGTTATTCATTAAACGATTTAAATTCTGACAGAATTTTGTAAAATGGAGTCAGAAATCATGATACGCGAAAAAGAAGAAAGGAGAAAATAACTTGCATCTTCCATTTTCCATTTGTAAAAACATTAAAGTCAGGCAGAATTTAGCTTAACAGGACCTTCCAATCACCCTAAACCGAGCAGAAGAAAGGGAAAAATGTCGGAAAATGTTCCCATTTTTTGTAAAAGAATTAAACTTAGAGATGACCTATTATCCCACCTTCGTGAAGGAAAAATAATAAGTTAAACTGTTGAGGTCGATATAAAAGAAGTCCGACTTTATTTAGCTTATGAGGAGTTCACGATCACGATAATCGGAGCAGAAGAAAGGAAGAAATATAATGTATTCTCATGTACGTTTGTCAAAGAATTAAAGTCTGACTGAATATAAGCCTATAAGGAGTTTGAAATCACGATGCACGAAACAGAAGGAAGGAGATAATTTTATGTTTTCCCATGTTCTTTTTTAAAATAATTAAAGTGTCACTGAATTTATTTTCACAGGAGTCTGAAAGGACGATAAACGGAGTAGAAGAAAGGACGAAATGTCATATTTTTTTCCCAATTGTTTTTGTAAAAGAATTAATGTTTGATTGAATTTAATTTAATAGGAGTCTGATATTAAGATAAAAGGAGCAAAAGAAAGGAGAAAATGTGATGTATTGCCAGGTTCTTTTGAAAATAATTAAATTGTCACTGAATTTATTTTCACAGGATTCTGATATCACTAAATTAAGTGAAGAGTGAAATCACGATAAAAGGAGCAGAAGAAAGGAAGAAATGTCATATTTTTTCCCATGTGTTATTTTTTTGTAAAAGAATTAATGTTTGATCGAATTTAATTTAAGAGAAGTCTGAAATCACGATAAACGGAGAATAAGAAAGGAGGAAATGTCATGTATTCCCATGTTCTTTTGTAAAAAAATTAATTTTTGATTGAATTTAATTTAATAGGAGTCTGATATTATGATAGTAGGAATAAAAGAAAGGAGAAAATGTCATGTATTTAATTTAAGTGAAGACTGAAATCACGATAAAAGGAGCAGAAGAAAGGAGGAAATGTCATATTTTATACCAAGTTCTTTTGTAAAAGAATTAATGTTTGATTGAATTTAATTTAAGAGGTGTCTGATATTACGATAAAAGGAGCAAAAGAAAGTAGGAAATATTATGTATTCCCATTTCTTTTGTAAAAAAATTAATGTTTGATTGAATTTAATTTAAGAGGAGTCTCAAATCACGAATTTAGAGCAGAAGAAAATAGAATCGTCATGTTTTCCCTTGTTCTTTTGTAAAATAATTAAAGTGTCACTGAATTTATTTTCACAGGATTCTGATATCAGTATAAACGGAGAAGAAGAAAGTAGGAAATTTCATAATTTTCCCAAGTTCTTTTGTTAAAAAAATTAATTTTGGATTGAATTTAATTTAAGAATAGTCTGAAATCACGACAAACGAAACAGAAGGAAGGAGTTAATGTCATATTTTTTCCCATGTCCTTTTGTAAATGAATTAATGTTTGATTGAATTTAATTTAAGAGGAAGCTCAAATCACGAATTTAGAGCAGAAAAAAAGAGATTCGTCATGTTTTCCCTTGTTCTTTTGTAAAATAATTAATGTTAGATTGATTTTAATTTATTAGGAGTCTGATATTACGATGAACGGAACAGAAGAAAGTATGAAATGTGATGTATTGCCAGGTTCTTTTGAAAATAATTAAAGTGTCACTGAATTTATTTTCACAAGATTCTGATATCACTATAAACGGATTAGAAGATAGCAGGAAATGTCGTATTTTTCCCAAGTTCTTTTGTTAAAAAAATTAATTTTGGATTGAATTTAATTTAAGAATAGTGTGAAATCACGATAAAAGGAGCAAAAGAAAAGTGGAAATATCATCAGTATTTCCATGTTATTTTGTAGTTAATGTTAGATTGAATTTAATTTAATAGGATATTACGATAAAAGGAGGAAAAGAAAGGAGGAAATGTCATGTATTTAATGTAAGTGAAGAATGAAATCACGACAAACGGAGTAGAAGAAAGGACTTAATGTCATATTTTTTCCCATGTCCTTTTGTAAATGAATTAATGTTTGATTGAATGTAATTTAAGAGGAGTCTCAAATCACGAATTTAGAGCAGAAGAAAAGAGAATCGTCATGTTTTTCCTTGTTCTTTTGTAAAAGAATTAATGTTTGATTGAATTTAATTTAAGAGAAGTAATGTAATATGTTCTCATGTTCTTTTGTAAAAAAATAGAAATCTAACAGAATTTAGTTTAAGAGGAATCTAAAGGAAAAAACTTAATGTTTGATTGAATTTAATTTAATAGGAGTCTGATATTACGATAAAAGGAGCAAAAAAAGAAGGAAATTGCCAGGTTCTTTTGGAAATAATTAAAATGTCACTGAATTTATTTTCACAGGATTCTGATATCACGATAAACGGAGCAGAAGGAGGAGGAAAGGAGGATGCTGTTCAATTTCGTACATAAAAATAGACAATGTTCGTCAGAAAATAACCGATAAAATATAGTTCTTTATTCCGAATTGTTATTACTTTAAGAATAAATAATAAAACACTGGTTCTATTTTGTTATAATTAAATGATTTAGTTTTTCAGTAAATATCAGGATAAAATCGATGATTAATACTTGTATAACTCAAGAAATTAAATGCTTTGTATAAAATAAAAACTTCAGGTTTTGAAAAATTTATTTTTTGTTAAAAAAGATAATTTGTACGTACGGTGATTTTCAAAACCTTTTGCTGTGTAATATGTTTATTTGTCAAATTAACCAGTTTTGTTATATGGTGTATACAAATGGTTTTGTTATGTTCTAGGATAGGGGGTCGGTTTTTGCCCAAAATTAGTTTAGAATATATCGAGGACTGGTCTCATTTTGTAATCCTCGTCCTCGATATTTGAAGAATAAAAACAAATGCATACTCTGAAGACAACTCACGCCACTTCCAAAGCTAAATACCATGTTTTAAGTTAAAAGTGGGTAAGTTAGGTGGATTATCAAAATTGGGAAAGGTCCGACAAAAAGTTTTACATGCTGGGGGTTGTAAAGGTGTCACTCACCACCTGGTCGAAACGCCATGTTGTAGCCACGTTCGCTGCAGACGATAGCCAAGGCTTCGGCTAGGCTTCTTCCGCAGAATCTGACGGCGTTTGAAGAAGAACAGAAATAGATTGGTAAAAACAAGCAGAGAAGGTAAAACGTTATCACCCTCATCGTGACGGAACTGAAACAATAGGAACCTGTTAGGAAAAAATTCGCCTGGTCTTTCCTACCACACTAGATTCTGTGCAACGCGGATGAAATAAAAACCCTAAAAGTAATTTTTTTTCTTTTAAAGTGTTTTTCCTTCCGCAAAGAAAAAATTGAACGGAATTAAAGAACGAAATTTATGAATAGGAAATTATGTTTCCACGCGGAAGTGATGGGTTTCCTGCTGTCCGTTATTGCAAGGCAGACTTTATTACATAAGGTAAAGCATGGACTTAGAATTAAAATTAGAAGGGTCTGGAAGTCGAGATCGTACACATATTTTAATTTAACTTCCGTGTGGGCTCCTAAATCGACAAAATAGGGTCATGTCCCGTGCATTGTCACTTCTTCAGAATAAATACCACTTTCATACACTCTCTCCTTTCTATTCAAACAGTGTTTAGAGAATTTTAGGCTTCACAATTTCCAAGATACCGAACATCTCAGGGGTTCGAGGGTAATGAATTGTTTTAAATATAACACTCTAGAAGGGGAGATGAGCCGGCTAATTTATAATCGAGCAGACGATAGCGAAATTGAAGCTAAGGCGAAGAGTGTTATTTCTCCTATTTCTTATTGTATTGTAAATAACCTTTTCGGGACAAGGGGTCTCTCGGAGGGGGTGACTCACCCCCTCGATCATTTTAAAACAGAAATCTTCAATACTTAGGATCCGCAAAAGGCTTCATTTTCATTTCGAGAGGGCTTAATTAATCGTGTCAAACCAGTTCTCGGCACATCACAAAGTCTTTACGGAGATTCGGGTTCACATTTCTCAACGGCGCGAACCCCAGACGCTTTTATGACAGACCGAAGGGGTACAAGAAATTAAAGGGGGCGAGTTGTGAGACCGTTTCCCACGGCGAAATTTTACAGTTTAATTTTCGACCATAACTAAAATTTAGGAAAAAATATAGCAGAAAATAATTGCGAGTGTTTTTGAATTTTTTTATTGTAAGGACTTTGGGTAAAAATGTGCGAAGACGTTTTTAGAAGGGACAAGAAGAAAATCATAGATACCTTTTGTGTTTGGTGTATCCATAAATGCCTATTTTTATTTCGGAGTGGATATCATCGGTTGTGAGCGGTCAGAAGCCTAGCACACGACTAAGGAAGATTGGTAGGAGCAATATCTTATTATCTAGCTCGGGAAAAGTGGTGGGGTGCTTGCTATGAAGAGGGGAGCACAAGCTGACCTCCCCGGCAAACATATTAATCCAGATATACATATATTGATATATATATTCCCGTGTGTCCCAATTCAGTTTCGCACAGGCGGGACGGACGGTCGCAGACCTGTCACCCCGCGCCGTCTTCGTTATATGCAAATTTGCCATATGGGATTTTTGTATACGAGGAATATTCGGTTTTTTAGATGTTCAGAAAAAGCTTCGTTGCTCTTTGCTTTGACACCGTATTTTTTTCGCTTGTATACACATCGAAGTACTTACTATCTTTGTGGTTTTCAGCTGCCTAGTCCTGCCTATCTGATTGCACTGTTTTAAATAGAACTATTTAGTTTAAAATCTCGAAAATACAATAAATTTGGCCACTTTCTGTTTAGTTGAAGGATTGTGCCTTAACTGTTACTGTTCTTTTATTGGAAAATTTGCCACATGGGATTTTTTTTCTGATTTGAACTGTGAACCTTAGAAAACGATTTAATCCCTGTGAAAATTTTATTATCGCTTTTCTTATGTTTACAGTATATTGTTTTCTTTTTCTTTTTTTAATCCTATACTTAGACTGACTTAAACTATGGAGACTTCAACGCTGGGTTTCGTGTAGTGTTAACCGGTCGACAAAATTTGCGCTGGCTCAGAAGAAGGCCGAGTCGCTGCTTAAAAAACACAACATTCCATTGAAACGATGAGCCTTTACTCATGCTGAGACTGTTGCTAGTCTGACTTCATTATTATTATTGGCCATAAAAGCCTATGGGAAATGTTCAAATTATGGAACAAAAATCCGAAATTCTAATTGAAGAACCAGAATAAATTTTATAGTTTAAAATGGGGTTTTTGCATACATTTGGCCTTCCAAATTAAGTATTTTAAAAGGATAAAATAAAGATTTGGATTGCAATAGGATAGATTAGTTTATGAGTGAATGTTTGGAGTCAGAGCTTTATAGCTCACAGAAGGGATATAGCTAACCTAAGATATAAGCCACTATATTTCGTGATCCGATTGAACAAAGAACTTCTTCCAATTAATCAATCTTTATTTAAGGTATTGTTGAAATGAAAAAGTTGGTGTCACGAGCGGGATTCGAACCCACGACCTTCGGCTCAATACGCAGCTATTCTACCACTTGAGCTATCGTGACTTCGATCCACTCGGACACCAACTCCCCATCTCAACCTACAACCTTTCGAATTTTCCTTCTTTTTTCCATTTTTTAGTGGATCGAAGTCACGATAGCTCAAGTGGTTAGAACAGCGGCGTATTGAGCCGAATGGCGTGGGTTCGAATCCCGCTCGTGACACTAACTTTTTCATTTCAACCAATACCTTACACTAAGATAGAAGGTTTAAATATTAGGGCGTGAAATGACGTCAGCCGTTAAAACGCCCTTAAAAATTAATAATAATAACATTCCATTGAAAAAATTGGTATAAAAATGTAATTATTTTTATTACCATTGAAACCCGAAGGTTCTTAATACACAGTTTGCAATTGTTTACAATAGTTGTTGCAGTTTGCAATTGCTGCCATAAATACACAGGATATACACTAGTAAATAATAATTTTTTTATAAGCCTTACTGTGAGGTATCGAGCGATAGAACACCCAAGGGTGTCGAGTCTAAAATCTCGAAAATACAATAAATTTGGCCGCTTTCTGTTTAGTTGCAGACGTCATATAAACCATCAGGGTGCAGGTGTTTTTGAAAAAAAAGCCCATTTGTAAGTATGTCAAGTTCGAATGCAGGGCCGCTGGATTCGAACCCGGAACCTGTACCTTACAGCGATGAACGCCGTATTAACGCCTAAACCGTCGCCCCCACCGACGCCCCCTGTGCCTTAACTGTTACTGTTCTTTTACTTTGTAGAATCCGAATCAGATATCAGCAATATCGTAACATGAAACCTTTTGTATAATAAAAAGTTATATATATAAAAGATCACAAACTTTAGTTTCATTGCGGACGAAGTGCAAAAAGTAGTTGACATGTGTAGTAGGTATATAATTATAGTGATTATAGTTATTAGTTGTTCGTTTATAGTTATTTTGTCCGTTCAGTTTTTATTTATTATACATTCTTGGAATAACAAATCATTGTAATCTATCAGTATTCCGATTCTAATTGCTTTCCATTCACACACAGAGAAGTGCAATATCGTATCGTTCACCGCAAAAAGCATTTCACTATGGATAGTTTTAGAAATTTTGAAAGTATGCAATTTTAATGAAAACACAAAATTTTAATAATTTCATTTAAAAAGCCATTTTACTACTCTAACAAAATAGTAAAACCAAGAAAAAATGGCCATTGGGAGGGTCTTCAGTTACGCTTTTATTTTAAACGCAATTTGACAATTATTAGTGAGAAATTTGTTGAGAAAGTGCGCAAGCTTCATTTGGGTTATTTCAAAACGGATTTCGGTGATTTGCTTGCGAAAAAAGCAGCTTAATGCCTTTTTCATAGTTATATTCGTGATCAGCGTTAAATTTCCTATAAGGATAGAGCTTTTCAGTATTTGTTTTTATCTTATTTACACTTTGGGGTTTAACAGTCTGTGAATAACAGTTATTCAGATACAATTATTGTAAGTGAGCCCATCTGAGTCAATATGTCAGATTAATTTTTGGAACGAGAATTTTACGAACGAATTTTAGTCGTATACCGTCAACAATTTTGGACGGTTTGCTGTGGTCCAATCGATTCAAACTAAAAATTGGTTTCAGCGCACCAAAAATCCTAAACATACAAAATTTGAGGAACTTACATCAAATAGCTTGGATGTTACTGAATTTTTTCCCGTTTTGGCCCCACTGTGCGCGGTCGAGGAGACCATTCGATGCATAAAACCAATCATAGGTCTACCGGATAGTTCTGTCCGTTTTTATAATAAAACAAAATAATAAATTTTTCATACCTTGAATAGGCTTTATTGAATGATATAATTTTCATCATTTATGACTTCTTGCCAGCGAGATGGCAATTTGTATATACCATTTTAAAAAAATGTCTTATACCTAGAGGCGAAAAATTGTACCATTGCTTGTCTGTCTTCGTTTTTGAATTTTTTGCAAAAAATTCGTGAGGACAAAAACAAGTGATATTCGGAGGGTGCGGGGAGTATTGTGGATGCGATGGAATTTCCCAGCCTCGCTCTGCGAGTTTCTGACGAATCCTCAAAGTAGTATGTGTCCTGGCATTATCATGAAGCAGTACGAGTCCTTCCTATTGAACGTCCCCGTATGGTTTTTAAATTATCCAATTGCTGACCTCTTCGAATTTAGCTTTTCGTGCGGTGTCAACAGCTTCAAAATGTATTGGTCCTCGAATGACCCACCATGTACACAACGTTCTCTTATTCAGGCTCAACTTCGGTTTAGAGGTGAAGGGGGCAGGTTTTCCGGATTCACAATATGCTCTTTTCCTTGTGATGTTTTTATGGGTTATTCACTTTTCATCCCCAGTTATCATCCGGTCCAAGAAGGAATCGATTTTCTTCCGTAGAAGCAGAGATGTGCATATGATGACTCGATCATTCAAATTCTTCTCACTTAACTCATCTTAGCCTTCTCGAATATTTCCACACCAATCCTTGTTTCCGAATATGGTCCGAAAGGTTTATTGAGCTGAATCAAGCCTGTCCGCAATCTCCGATCGTCAAAAAAGGTTTTGGTTCTAACATCATCTTGACAGTATCGTCGCCCAGAGCGTGGCTTATCAGAAAAGCCGAAATCGCCTATTTGAAATTTTCCGAACCATCTTCTGAATGTTCTATCAGAAACTATATCCTCACCAAACACTTTCAATAAATTTCTATACGCTTCTGTAGCATTTCTTCTTTGTTGGAATTCGTACAAAATACTGAGGTGTAAACAAACTTTATCCGTAGGCTTGGGTACACGATCGCGTCTCACTTAATACTAACATGAATCATCTTCGTTTTACTTCATTTGCTAGGTCAGTATGTATACATTCACTGATAAGAAGAGAGAGCCAAATATGCGTCAACAAATGAATGCGCATATTTGTTGAAACTTGTAACGGGAACGGAAAGGACTTTCCACACATAGTGGGAAAATCACTCCCTTGCCAGGCGTATCAGGGAGATGTGAATAAAAACTTTACATAGCATTAAGTGCTCCTGGAAAAGTCGACATCTCCCGACAACCCGGGGATAAAGCAGAGACACTTCCTCCAAAGACAGCACAAACCGACCCGCACACGACAGGCACCCGCCGACCGGGTGCAGCGCGACACACCTTCCCAAAGCTTAGACCATCGTATCACCTGAAGAAACCTTTGAAAATAGTTTGTTCGGTTGTTCGCCTCCCATAGTCAAAACTACTGAAAAGTTTGGTAACCTCTTCTGAGTTAATGGGCCAAAAAATAGCTTCCCTTCTTTCTCTTACCCCGGCATAATAAAACAATAAATATATTTGATCCTTTTTAAAAAAAAGATAGTTCCTACTCACAGTAAGTTGTTTTTGCAACGATCCGGATTTCGAGCCCTTTAGTTCATCATCAGGTTGAAGGACTTCTACAACCACATCTCTCGACATGAACTGCAAAAGTGAACCCGCCGATACCACTGCCAACGCGACGTTCCAACGACCAGGTGGTTTTTCAGTTCATGTCGAGAGACGTGGTTGTAGAAGTCCTTCGACCTGATGATGAGCAAAGGGCTCGAAATCCGGATCGTTGCAAAACAACGTACTGTGAGTAGGAACTTTCTTTTTACAAAAAGGATTGAACACCACACTCACTCCATCATTCATCATTTCTATATGTTTGATACTTTCTGGCCCATCACATGCCATGCAATTAGCAGATGGACTCAGGTTTTTCCTGTCTAAGTAGACACCGCATATGGTGTGATTTCCTCCGATTCGGGATATCGTAGAAAAGAAACTTTTACTTCCT